CCTATCAGTGGTTAAATGATTTTGTATAGGATGTATGGATGTACCAGTTGTGACATTCTGTGCATCAGTAAAGGAAAGGTTTGAAGAGTGATTAACTAAATGTTTGTATACATTGAGATATGAAGGAGGCTTTTTGGTTCTGGTAGACCTTCTGACTGGGGATTGGCGTGTTGAGGATGTTGGCTGTGAGGAAGATGTAAGTAAAGATGTGGGTGATGAGGACTGTATGGAGGGTAGTTGTGAAATAGTTGTCTGAGAGCGTTGTTGTGGATTAGTTGTCTGAGTATGTATGTTCTGAGGAATTTGTGAAGAATGAGATGTGGGGTTGTCATAAACAAAAGGAGGAGTCTGTGGAAACATAAGGTCAGAGTTGTTAGAGGTAAGGCTGGTTTTGTCTTTGAAATGAAGCACAGATTCATAGAATGTCACATTTCTGGTAATTAATATATGTTTGGTTTCCAAGTTGTAAAGCTTATAACCTTTACAACCTAAAGGGTAGCCAAGTAATATGCATTTGGATGATCTTGGATCAAATTTGGATCTATGAGATGTTAAAGTTGATGCATAAAACAGCCTATCACTTTTAAGTGATCATATGTAGGTTGTTTATTATAAAAGATCTCAAAAGGACTTTTATTGTTCAAAATAGAAGATGGAATCCTGTTGATTATGTGAATAGCAGCTAAAACACAATCCATCCAGAAATGTAATGGTAAGTTTGCATGAAAAAGAATGGCTCTAGCTACTTGTAAAAGATGTTGGTGTTTCCTTTCAACTCTCCCATTTTGTTGAAGTGTTTCAACACAGCTAGTTTGATGAAATAAATCATGCATAAAAAATCCAGGACCATTATCAAATCTGATGCATTTTATGGTTTTGTCAAATTGTGTTTTAACCATGTTGTAAAAATGCATAATGTGATGAGATGTATCAGATTTTGCAAGTAAAGGGTAAATCCATGTAGTACTGTTGTGGTCATCCACAGTTGTGAGAAAATACTTATGACCAGTATGAGAGGGTACTGAAAATGGACCCCAAATGTCACAGTGAACAATATCAAAAGGAGTAGAGGCAAGAGAGGTACTTACAGAGTAAGGCAGCCTTCTTTGTCTAGAAAAATGACATATGTCACAAGGTTTAATATCAGAAACAATGCCTTTATTTACAGAAATAAGGAGTTGAACAAGTTTGTGAAAAGAAAGATGTCCAAGTCTATGATGCCAAACAGTGGCATTATTATCAAAGTTTTTGACATTTTAGAAAAATTACAAGAACTATTACAAAGTTTATTTTGAAGACTAAGGTGATATAAACCATTCTTAGCTTCAGCAAAACTAATCATTTTGTTGGTTTTAAGCTCCTGCAATTTGCAGTAAGAAAAGAAAAAACTGACTAGGCAATTGTTTGATTGTCAATTTTGAAACTGAAATCAGGTTAAAAGTGAAAGTAGGGACAAAGAGGACATTGTGCAGTACAAGATTAGGCCCCAGTTATATCTGGCCCACATGACTTGCGCAAGTGCTCTGTCCATTAGGTAGGTTAACAGTAATAGAAACTGGGGAAGGGGGAGATGTAAACAGTTGATAATCACAAATCATACAATCAGAAGCACCGGTATCTAAAATCCAAGTATATTTGTGAAATAGTGTTTGATCAATTGAAATACCTTGATTAGAGATTGTTGCAGAAGCAATTACAGGGGTGTGATTTTGCTCCCCAACTCCCTGTTTGTTCTCATAAGATTTCTTAAACTCCATGAACTCAGTAAAACGACTGTCAGTAGTGAGATTGTCATTGGAAAGAGTAGTAACAGAGTTTGTAGAGGTATGATCAGGATGAACTCGAGGACCTTTAGGGCCCTTCCAGTGGGGTGGATACCCTATGACTTGATAACAATGATCATTGGAGTGATTGGTAAGGCCACAGTGAGTGCATTTATATTTCTTTCTGTCTTTTTGAAATGGCTCTTTCTAAAATGGCTCTTTCTAAAATGGAGGTTTATAAGGCTTGAAAGAAGTATGAGGGTTAGTTTTAACAGCCATGGCAACAAAGTCAAAAGGTCTGGTAGAGGATGATAGGTTTCTCTGACTTTCCTCTTGAAGTAAAAGAGAGTATACTTTGGAAAGAGGTGGTAAAGGTGAAACAAGAGAAAGTGACTTCTGAGGGATGAGTATGAGTCGTTAAGGCCAATCAAAAATTTCATAACCGAGTCTGATTGTTGTGCAGCAGTCATAGCATAAAAAATGTTACAAGTACAAGTATTGAATGCACCACAATGACAGCGAAAAAATAGGCCTATAAGTAATATATTTATCTCACAATCCTTTAAAGGTGTTTTAATAATGAGTAATAGATTGAGACCCCTGGTCCATAGAGCTTAAACATTTTTTGAGTAGAAAAACCCTAGGACCACTAGATAAAGCATATCTTGCCTTCAATTCATCCCAAACCTCTTTCGCAACAGAGAAAAATAACAGAGACTGACGAATATCCTTATTGACAGAGTTTAATAACCAAGATAAAACCAAATTGTTCGCACGAACCCAGGCAAGTGAATCAGAAAGATTACAATTAGGATTAGGGGCAAAAATTGTACCGTCAACGAATCCAAGTTTGTTTTTGACACTCAACGCCAAAGAAACAGCACGAGACCAAGAGACATAATTCTCACCAGTAAAGAGCTCAGCAACGATGAGTGCACCCAGATTATCACTCGCATTAACATAATACGGAGAAATCGGATCATCAGTGAGGCTAGGGTTAGGGTTAGGGTTGGCCATCGCGAAAACAGATCAAACCAAGTCGCACTAGAGATAAAATCCAAAGATCGAGTACAAGTCTTCAACAATCTAACGCAGATCGGAGGAGAACAAATACAGATCTAGGGCTCGCGGTATGCGAAATAAAAGGAATATCTGAGATATAAGAAATCAATAATCGATCGCAGCGGAATAATGAAAAGGATCAATAAATCTGGCGAATGATACCATGTCAACTGAATCTGTGTAACTAGCAGTGTCAAATGGGTCGGTCCGGTCCGGCCCGCGCTGGCCCGCGGTTCAAACGGGGCGGGCCAAAATGGCCCGCATTTCTACGGACTGGAAAATCCATGGCCCGTGGCCCGCCCTCATTAGCCCACGGGCCAAATCGGCCCACCCGCGGGTTTTTTGGTATTATGCACTCTTATATACTTTTTGGTTTGTTTATCCTTATATTTACTAGTATATTAATAAACTAGTAAGGCTTCATGTGTAATGATGTTAAATATTTGTCATCCAATTTTTATTTTTATTTTTTTATGAATAGTTATAAGGTATTCATGCGGAGGAGAGACTTAATTCACATAAAATATTATTTGATTCATTAATATTTTTATTATGTAAAAAAATATTTCATGTGCATTCACAAATCTTAATATCATTGTCAAATTTTAAAAAACTATAAAATAAATATGGAAGAAGAAGAAGAAAAGACGATAAAGACAAAATCCAACAAAATAAATAAGTTCATCAATAGTAATTACTAATTAACAAACATTCAAATTCCCATAGCAGATCATATTAAAAGTAAAATCCAAACAATCAAAGTCCGACAACAAAGTAAATTTCAAACAATCAAAGAGACGAGTTGCGCGGCAGGGCTAGGGTCACGTAGACGTAGCAGAATGAAAGTGAAGAGTTTTGAAACTTGAACGACGCAAGTTAGAAGTTAGAAGTAAAATAAGAAATACTAAATTTAAATAATATTAACAAACAAATAAATAATAAAAAAACGGGCTGGACCGCGGGCCAACCCGCTTTAGACCGCGGGCCGAACGGCGCAGGCCAAATAGGCCCGCGATTGAACAGGCTGGCCAAGCAAAGGCCCAAACCCGTCCATTTAGGCGGACGGACGGGCCAGCCCGCGGGCCATGGCCCGTTTTGACAGTGCTATGTGTAACAGATCTAAAAAAGAAGAACAAAGACGAAGATGGATCGTCTGATAGAGAGAGAAAAATAAAAGATATATGCAGATATGAATTATGAATGAATGAATCGTTGTACATGTGTTTACCTTGGTATTTATACCAAGGGTTTGTACCTAAAGTGCTAAGGAAAAGGAGATAACTAAAAACGTGTTTTACATATAAAAGACTAATACACACTAATAAAATCTAACAGCAATCACATGCACGATCAAGTATATGCATGTTAATCGACCAGACACTAATAGGGGTGCAATGCAAATGAGTCGAATGATATCGTGTTGCAGTCTTTAATGAGCTAATAATCGAGTTCGAGTTCGAGTTCGGTTCGTTTATCAATATTAATATATTGAGTTTGGGCCGAAGTCTAAAATTAATATATTGAGCTATTGAAAATTATATAAAATTCCTCTTCCGAATATTCACGAACCAAAATGAGTCCACCTCATTAACTAATTAAATTTTGAGCTCACAAATAACTCTTTCGTTTAAGAGAATTAGGTACTACCTACAATTACGATAGGTTTTTCATATTTTGAATACAAAATGCAAAAGAAAAACTAGGGGGCACAAAAAATTTGATTTGCATAACTGTAATCGAAGTTGAGTTCGATTCGTTTATCAATATTAATATATTGAGTTTGAGCCGAATTCTAAAATTAATAAGTTGAACTATTGAAAATTATATAAAATTCCTCTTCTGAGTATTTACCAACCAAAGTAAGTCCACCTCACTAAAATAATCAAATTTTAACCGAAATAACTCTATCGTTTAAGAGAATTAGGTACTACCCGCAATTAGGATATATTTTTCTTAAAAAAAAAAAAAGCACAAAAAATGTGATTTGCATAACCGTAATCCAAGTTGACTGAACTTATAATCAAGACACACTTTTTAAATTCTAATAAATACAAAATATGGTATGAATTAAGTCAATAAACTAACAATAAAAAGAAAAATAAAATAAAAAAGAAAAAGCACACACGTCATATAAAAGCGACCTGAGCGCCCTATTTTTTGAAAATACCTCCTCCGCCTCGCGCCGCCCGCCGTCTTCGCTCTCCCCCAAAACTCCGATCTGTTAGCTGACCCTCTGAAACCCACACCTCCGGTGAGTCTCCCTCCGTTTCCCTGCAATTTCAACTACATCTGTCCAATTCACTGCACTTGCCGCCGCCTTTCAGTTGCAATCGACAAGTTGCATTCGAATTAAAATGATTTTATGCGTTCCTTTTTCCCGGCACTGTTATGTGTTTTGTGTTGAATTTTGAGATCCGTCTCGGGTTTTTGGGATTTTGTCTCTGTTTTTGTGTTTTTCGATTTTTGTACTTGTCTCGAGCGAGGTAAATTTTCAGCCTTTGGGATTGTGTGAAGAAATGTGCATTTCTGATTTTATTCTATTTTTAATCAGTGAAGTAAATTCCCTTTCCAATTAGTGTTGTTTTTAAATCTCATGTCCCTCCCTTGCGTTTCCATTTGATTTTTGGAGTCAAAATTTGGGGCCGAAGCTTAAATGCAGTAATCCATTCACAGTAACAGCTCACAAACTAGCAAATTGAAGTATTTTATACTTAATTTTATATGGATCGTTTTGTGTGTTAGTTTGTTGAATTGGAATAAGCTGCCTATATCACCCTGCTCGAAATTTCTGGAAAATCTTGAAGTTTTCAATAGAAATTTCTATGCATCCAATCTCTACTCTTTTTGTTTCTTGTTTGTTATCAGTCCCTGTTAAAGTTTTCTGTGAAAGAACTCTTACCACAAGAAACATCATAACTCGATTTCCCTTCTTAACCCTCCCTCAGTTCGAACTTCCCGTGCGGGCCCACCTCAACCAACTCCCTTTATGATCAACACACAACACAGCAACAATGGCTCGGCAGCCAGCGGAAGCACGGCCCCACCTGCCCACAACAAGCAGCCATCGATGGCTCCTAAAAAGACCGCGCTTAGGGATTTACAGAATGAAAATGCAGGAACAACCCAGAAGCAGCAAAATGGCCTACTTCTCGGTAAACTGAATGGGGCCAATGAGAACGTGATGAATGCGCGCAGGAGGTTCGAGCTGGAACTCGGTCGAGGGAAGCTCCAGAACAACATCGAGAGGTTTTCGGAGTTGAAGAATATTGGTAATGCTAATCGTGCTCCAGTTCCCATTTCTTCTGGTAAGAATGGTAGTGTTAGTGGGATGGCTGCTGCTAATGCAGTGCCTTCGGAGGTTGCACGAGCGATTGAGCCGAAGGTGACGGGTGAACAAGCGAGGGCCGAACGTTTTGTGCGGCTCCAGAAGTTTCTGAAGCAATGTGACGAGACTAGACAAATAGAGTACACTCAGAGTGAGTGCCTTTCTTTTCACTTATGGTTTTCCGTGGTTATGTTGTGACTCTGTTTTGTATTGTCTGTGGTTTGTGATTAATGTTGTTGTTTGTTGGTCTGATGATTTGGATTTAGGGCTTCTGCGTTTGTCCCCTTCTGAGCTTAGCAAGCATGCCGTGGAGTTGGAGAAAAGGGCAATCCAGCTGACTATCGAGGAAGGTGTGGTGACTAGTATTTTGTTGGCATTTGTTTGTTTGTTTGTTTTTTGTGTTACTTTCATATAGTTTGGTATGCCATTTTCTCATAATTTGGTATGGCACCTTGGAATGCGAAGGAGACTGAAATGGAGAAAGATTAGTTACTATGGTGAAACTTGAGCTATGTGTAGCGGAAGTACTTAAAAAGATTTTGGGAACGATTTCAAACAAATCTAATTGATGATATGAAGCCAAATATAGGTCACATCAGGTTGTGATTTGTCTGTTTTTCTGGTCACAAAATGTTCGATTGCACATTTACGCGGATGAGTTATTTAGTGTGATCCTTTTGTATGGAACCTTGTTTTTGTATCTGACCACCGGGCTTGGGATCTGAATACAAGTATCTTATGTATAGCCGAATGGCTCTAAAATCCCACTGTTACCTACACATTATGTGTAATTATTTGTGTATTCGTACTCTTATAAATAGTTTCTTTTTTATCTATCTAAAGTTAGTTGCTTATAAATATTTTTCACTAAATATTTTTCGCGAGCTGTTGCTTCATTGTTATCATTCACACGATGAATGCGTGTAATATAGTAAAGTTTTGATATCACACATATTCACAATCTGCTTGAAATAAGTGAGATCCTACCTGTAAATTGGAAGTTTTGTGTATTGCGCAACGACACTGTTTAAACCACTGCATGCTCTATGTTTTGCAGGAAACGAGATGCAACGGATGAAAACACTGAACATTTTGGCGAAATCTTCTCCAGCAAACAATTTGCTGCAATCAAATCAGTTATTGCCACCCCATAAGCGCTAGCCATAAGGTTTGTGGTGAAATTTTGTGGGGGATAAATTGTTCTAATGTTGACAAAATCCTAAATGGAACCTTTAGTCCTCTCTGTCCTTCATATCAGAGGCCTTTTAGATCTAATAATGTACTGTTGTTTTGAGCAGCTACATGTGAGAATTGTGATAAATTGTTAGCCTGTAGTCATGTGCTGCAATTCATCAATCATTTATTGTTCCTATGGCTATAAGCAGTTGTTAAAATGTAGCTTCTTGTGCCTTTGTTTCTCAAAACTAGTGTATAACCGTGCGATGCATAGGCTATATTTATATATAAATTGAACGTTAATAGACAATAAAAGAATTATCATACAAGTTGTCAGATTATAAAATGCTCAGAATGAAAAATTACTTTCCCCTCTTCAAAGTCGTTGTCAAACGTAGAAATGTTTATAGCCTGAATCAAACCAATAACTCGACCACCTTATAGAATAAATTGTATAAAAATAATCAAAAGTGCAAAAAATGTATCCATTCTGTATCAATTGTGAAAGAATTGAAGGTTAGAGCTCAGCATCGTGAAATACTTCTTCCAACATGTTTTGTAGGATGACTCGAATGTTTTTCTTTGAAACATTTGTACGACTCGTAGCTTCATCATTGGTCTCTTGGACATGGTAACTTGCTTTGTCACTTGTCAGACCCCATGGTTGATCCATATTCAAATGCAAACTTTTGTGTTATTTTTTAGGAAATCAATTGACTGCAACATTCTATATTGAAAAATAAAGAATAGGAAAGAAATATTTATTTAATTTAAATTGTATCACATCTTATCTCGTTGCACCGAAGTATAAAACATATATGTGTAATTTTTCAATTCAACCGCGTGTATATTTTTTTATTAACTGATTTCGACTTGCATTTGTTTCATAAAATAACGGGATGATTTTTGTTGGGATAAAAAAATGATACTTGTTATTGTATAGGTTGATTCAATTCACTACGATATTATTGGAAAATAAAAATAAGGAAAAGGTTCATGATTTACTTTAAATGCTTTTGAATAACATTATTATGCTATTCAATATCCTTTGAAAAATTGGCTTTTTTGTTAAGATAATTGAATTCTTTTATGCTTCGCCGGATTTTTTATGCTCGAATAACATCATGAATTCTCACAAATCCAATTTTGATTACCATTTAGACATGGTTTTGCTGGAAAGTAGGATTGAGATGATGATCAAAATGTGTTCAAAAACTTGCTGGATCGAAGATTAACTCCAAATAACTTATGGAGCCCTTCCTCTAGCGTCAAGCTGTTGTTATGCAAAAATTAACAACAATAATCGCAGGGATTAAGTGGATAGAAAGCTGTAAGTTAGCTAGATTCTTATTATTATGAAGTCGGTTTTATGTTGAACCGAGTTGTTTTACGTGCGTATTAAAAGGGTTGTATTCAATTGAGATTTTTAAAGACTTTTTAAAACTTTTTAAATTTGGTGACTTTTATAGACTTTGTAAAACTTTCATGCTTTTGGTGGACATTTTGAGACTTTCAGATAATTCTCATTAGTAACTTTTTAAGACTTTCATAATGGATTTTTTAAAACTTATTGAGACTTTTATATACTTGTAGTTATAATATTATGTTTGAATGAAACATTAATAAACGTAACATAATAACTAATATCAAGAAGAATAAATGAAAAAAAATATATTTTATATATTAATCCTCTAAAAATTTATGAATCAATCCATTGCTATGAGAAATGAGTTATTCACTAACATTGTCGAACTCTATAGTATTATGTTTAGGATTTTAGATTTATTAAACGAGCAAATCAATCCGAGCTTCAACGAGTCGAACTATGGAAGATACAAACATTGTCAAAAAACAGTAATTGTATTTTATAAATTTATCAATAATATTCAAAATAATTCAATATCAACAAATAAACTATTAGAAAATAAAATAATTTTATTAATATTTAAAAATAAACATTGGCAAATAAAAAGAGAGAACAAATAAATTATTTGCAAGTGCAAATTAACTATGGAAGCATTTAACCTTTGAAAAATCAAATTCACAAGATAATAAAATGAAATAAAAAAGGTATACATATATAAAATAACCATCATAAAAAATATATAAAATAAAGATCACGTTAAATATACGTAAAAAGTATAAAAATTATACAAAGTATCAAAATAAATGAGTAAAATAATAGAGTATGAAAGTGATATGAGATACAAAATTGTGTTCGAAAGAAAAAAGAAAGAGAGCGTGAAGAGAGTCACATAAGTTCATCAAAATCTCACCAATATTGATGAGATTTCTGTTGGAACTTTCTCTTTGTAATTTTGTTAGAAAAGTCTTTAAAAGTCTCACAATTAAAAAAGTCTCATAAAGTCTTCATATTTTGAATACAGGGTGACTTATAAAGATTCTCAGAAAATTTTAATTGAATACCATGAGACTTTTAAAGGCTTTTTAAAAGACTTTAAAAATCTCAATTGAATACATGTAAACTTTTCAGAAGTCTCTAAAAGTTCTGATTGAATACACTAGAATTCCGAAAGTCTTAAAAAGTCTCTAAAGTTGAAACTGAATACACCTCCCTAAATGTGTTCGAAAAAAATCTCCATACATGAATAAATGTTGCTATTTATAGTAATCCCAAGCTCGCCTTTTGAGATTGATTCAACGGCATTAAATGCGATTTAACAGTATAGAGGCATCTAGTCTGCAGGTAACCTCCATAAGTGATGATGAAGGTATGAGGGCTGATTAACGTGCATCCCATCTGCTTTTATTGCCTCGGCTCAACCTCGATTTCGCATTAACGTCGGTTTTCGGTCTTCTGATGAGGTCGACTCCTCTCTTGGTTATATTGTTACAAACCCTTCATGAGTCAAAACAACTTACGCAATCTATGGATCAAAATAGTTAATGTAATTTACTAACAACTACATAATTACTAAAGAAGACCATACTTTATTTTTTTTTCTCATATAGTATGTATATATATTATTTTAAATTTTTATTTGAGTGGAGATAATATGGCCCGTAAAAATTTATGCGGTCATACCAAAATGGAATATTTAAGAACAGATCTGTGTTCACACAACGTCGTAAATAAGTCCAACAAGAGCCCCATCATTTCATTAACCATTGCGTTTATCCTCATCACACATTTCGAGGCTGTGGCCGGATCTTATCGGCCCACGTTTTGGCGCCACACATGATCTCTAGATAAACAACAATAACTAGCATGGATTTTTTTTATTTGTATTTTCTATTTTGAAAAATTAAAATAATATGTTTTGCAATCTTCCTTGGCTTTATTTGTATAACCGTGCTTATAAATAGGTTTGAATTAAACTCTGCGTAAATTCAGCTCGACTCGGCTCATGAAAAATATCTATTTTGAAATATGAAAATTATATGTTTTGCAATCTTTCTTGGTTTTATTTGTATAATCGTGCTTATAAATAGGTTTGAATTAAACTCTGCGTAAATTCAGCTCGACTCGGCTCATGAAAAATACGAAGTGGCTTGTTCATTTATTGACTTTTTCAAATAAGTTAAATTCAAACAAGTAATCGAATTTTTCAATAGAGAACTTGTTTATTTATTTATTTTAAATATTTTTAAAAAATCGTCAATATAAATTTATTCGCCAAATTTTGAATATAACACAATTAGAGTTTAGGTTTAATTAAATAATATAAATTTAAACTTTTACGAATTTAAACGAGTTGAATTCTGATTGGACATTCTTGTCTGTTCCTTTAAAGAGTTGAGTGGCTGAAATGACTCATTTTTACTAAAAGAACACGAATTTAAACGTGAGTTATTCGATTCGACTCGACCTAAATAACACACCCATATTTGTTAATGAGTTATTAAAAATGCATTACACTAAATATAAAAAGAAATTCAACCATGATAAAAATACACTAAAACAATGAGTGGAAGATTTTAATTTTGTGTTGATATTTGATAACTTGATATGTCTGTTTCTTTTTATTTTATTTTTCTTTTTGTTGTGGATAATATTTCTCCTCACATAGTTACGTATTGATATTGACCCCACCTCAATTATGAATAAATAACATTTCCCTTTTTAATAAATAGCTCCCAAGAGAATCACACGCTCATCTTCTTCCTAGCACAAATTTCTCATCTCTCATCTGTATCCATGGATCCATACAAGGTAATTTTTCGATTTATTGAACTTTTTCATTAAGCTGTTAATCTCGATTTAGTGCCCTAAGCTCATGGCTATTGATCGTGTGATGGTTGATTGAACGGTTTTGCTTATTTTATTGGCTTCGATTGGTTGTCCTCGATTTTTTCCCCCAAATATTGTCTTTTTTTGTTGTGATGCCTGAGTTTTGATCATATGGTAGTTGTTGAAACGTTTTTGCTTATTTTGTTAGTACTGATTTTTACCGGCTTCGACTTCCATTATTGAATTTTTCATTGAGCTGTTAATCTCGATTTTACACCCTATGCTCACGGATATTAACCGTATGGTAGTTGATGAAACGATTTTTCTTATTTTTAAAGTACTGATTTTTAGTGACTTTGATTGGTTGCCCTCGATTTATTGAATTTTTCATTGAGCTATTAATCTCTGCTTATATCCTATGCTCATAGATATTGATCCTATGGTACGTTTTTGCTCATTAGTACTGATTTTACCGGCTTTGATTGGTTGTCCTCGATTTTTTTCCTCAAATTTTGTGTTGTTTTGTTGTGAGGCCTGAGTTTTGATAGTACGGTAGTTGATGAAATGTTTTTTCTTATTTTATTTCTGATAATATTGATTTTACTGTCTTCGATTGGTCGTCCTCGATTTTGTTTTTCGTCCAAAATTTTGTGTTGTTTTGTTGTGATACCTGAGTTTCTTGACGATTGGTGCAGTACCGCCCGTCGAGTGCGTTCAATACGCCTTTTTGGACCACGAACTCCGGAGCTCCCGTCTGGAACAATAACAACTCATTGACTATAGGAACGAGAGGTCTTCCCTATTGTTCTTGCTCTTTGTTTTTGCCTCTCTGTTGGTGTTATTTTCAGCTGTTGTTATAGTTGTTATTGGCATTTTTTCTTATATCTGACTATGGTTGAGTTCCATTTATATACAGATAGGTAAATTTTGGCGCATGTGTCTTGTGTAATTCTGGTTATTTTACACCTGGGAATTGTCTCCTTTTGTTTCACCTCTTCGAATTTTCCTCAATCTTAGACACTGTGCAAGTAATATTGAATAAGAATGAAATTTTATCAATATCTATGTACTTCTCTACTTAGCTGGTGGGATTTTCTTTTTGTATGCTCGTAATGACATCAACTGTATAATTGAATTCAATTTTCATATCATTGATAACATGTGATGATATCAGTTTTGAATGTTAGTGTCAGCTGAAAACCCTGAAAAACTTGGCTGTTTCTCCTGTCTTCTCCATAGTGACCTTTCTAGTTTTTTTCCTTTTTAAATCAAATTCAAGATGGTCTTCAGTAAACGATAAATTCTTTCTTGAGACCATGGATACAAATGTGCAATTGGATTTTCCTTTCACTATTTGATACTATTAGCTTCGTTTAACAGAACATTACAAAATTCTGCTTGTGTACATATTACAGGCCCTATCCTCCTGGAAGATTACCATTTGGTGGAGAAACTTGCTAACTTTGACCGGGAGAGAATTCCGGAACGAGTTGTACACGCTAGAGGTGCCAGTGCCAAGGGCTTCTTTGAGGTCACTCATGACATCTCTAACCTTACATGTGCTGATTTCCTCCGAGCTCCAGGTGTCCAGACACCTGTTATTGTTCGGTTCTCCACTGTTATCCATGAGCGTGGCAGCCCCGAAACTCTTCGTGACCCCAGAGGATTCGCTGTCAAATTTTACACTAGGGAGGTACTTCATGTTATCTCCAGCGTACCTGTATTTCTTTCCTATTAACAGCATTGTACTCGTGACCTGTAAACTAGTTTGATGAATCAGAATTACTTCCGGTTTTATTCTTTATCTAGGCTATGTTTGGTAGACACATAAGCTAGCTTATAGCTTATTTAATTAGCTTATAAACTCCCTGTATTCAAATAAGCCTTGTTTGGTAGGACGAGCTTTTTTAATAAACTCGAGCTTATTTGATAAGCTTTTTTAAGTAGCTTTTCAAATAAGCTAGTTGATTTTTTTATTCCAGCCAGCTAGCTTATCAGCTAATTTACCAAACACTTTTATCATATAAGCTAGCTTTTCAGCTATAAGTCATACGCTATAAGCTTGAAAATTACTGATCAGCTATCAGCTAGCTTATCAGCTAGTTTTACCAAACATAGCCCTAGTTGTTGTGCTTGCTAATAACATTTATGTATGATTTTGGAATTTACTCATTAATTGAGTATTAGCTTGATTTTCTATATGCATTCTAATGAATGCAGGGAAATTTTGACTTGGTGGGAAACAACTTCCCTGTGTTTTTCGTTCGTGACGGGATGAAATTTCCGGACATGGTCCACGCCCTCAAACCCAATCCGAAGTCCCACATTCAAGAAAACTGGAGGATCCTTGACTTCTTCTCTCACCACCCAGAGAGCCTCCACATGTTCACATTCCTCTTTGACGATTTGGGCGTCCCTCAAGACTACCGCCACATGGACGGCTCAGGTGTCAACACATACACCCTAATCAACAAAACCGGGAAGGCCCACTATGTGAAGTTCCACTGGAAGCCCACTTGCGGCGTCAAGTGCTTGCTTGAGGAAGAAGCTATTAAAGTCGGGGGATCCAACCACAGCCACGCCACCCAAGACCTTTATGACTCGATTGCGGCAGGGAATTATCCCGAGTGGAAGCTTTTTATTCAGATAATAGACCCGGACCACGAGGACAGGTTTGACTTTGACCCGCTTGACGTGACCAAGACTTGGCCCGAGGACATCTTGCCACTGCAGCCTGTGGGCCGCCTGGTGCTGAACAAGAACATCGACAACTTCTTTGCAGAGAACGAGCAGCTTGCGTTCTGCCCGGCCATTATTGTCCCTGGAATTTACTACTCGGACGACAAGCTGCTCCAGACTCGGATATTTTCTTATGCGGACACTCAGAGGCACCGTCTTGGGCCGAACTATCTGCAGCTTCCGGCTAATGCTCCCAAATGTGCTCACCACAACAATCACCACGAGGGTTTCATGAACTTTATGCACAGGGACGAGGAGGTAATTTGTGTGTTGATATATCTTTTGTTGGTCTATGGAAAATTGGAATTTTATCAGTTGAATTCAATATTGAGATTGTTGACATAACTGCTATTCAAGGCAGTTTTGATAACTTTCGGCTGCCTCGTGGGAAATGCATTGTTCATCCTGTAACTTCTTTAGAGTGTCGTGTTTGGTGTGCTGCTCTCATTCTATTTGCTTGGATGTATTTGGCTTGATCTTCCACACCTTTTTTCAGGTGAACTATTTCCCTTCAAGGTATGACCCTTGCCGCCATGCTGAGCGGCACCCAATTCCTCCTGTGGTATTGAGTGGGAAGCGTGACAGAGTAAGTAGCTTTTGTTTACTTGATTTTCACTCAATAGTTTTTTCCGTTGGAAGATGATATTGCAGAATGTTTACCATTTCCATGTGAGTATTAAAGGGAGGTTAAAACTCATATAATTTGTTGTATAAAACTGATTTGAGGGTTATTAGAGGATGTTTGATACCTAATGATAGCCATTACCTACTCCTTAAAAAAGTTGGCTAAATAGGAAAAAAAACATAAGGAAAAATGATTGACTGTTGATGTAGATGAATTGAGTTAAAGTGAACTAGTAGTTTATTACAGATGCCACTGTATCTTTATCTATATTGGCACATGAGCGAGTTGGTGGGCTGGGTATTCTGTTAAATGAAATTGCGATAAGGGGAGGCGTTTTGCAGATAATTGTCGATATTTACTAAAAAAAATCCATTTTGCATTTGACTCCGTGTTTGTTTAACATTTAAGTGTACTGGTTATTCTTCATGATTATAGATCTGCATCGAGAAGGAGAACAACTTTAAGCAGCCTGGCGAGAGGTACCGTTCCTGGGCACCTGATAGGTACTTCACTCCCCACTTGTGTTCTTATAGTGAATAAATTACATTTTCTTTTGAGCAGATAAAAATACGTCTTTATTATTATTTTTTTCTCTCGATTTTCTTTCATCAGGCAAGAGAGGTTTATCAACCGATGGATCGATGCTTTGTCTGATCCCCGTGTTACCCATGAGATCCGTTCCATTTGGATCTCTTACTGGTCTCAGGTAGGACACTCGTGCAATTCCAATATTTTTTATTCTTTTTATATGTTTCTAAATAATTATTGCTGGGAATCAACTGGGAATGAACAATATCATATCTATGTATTTTTATGCGTGCAGGCTGACAAATCTCTCGGTCAGAAACTTGCCTCCCGTCTCAACGTGAGGCCGACAATGTGAAAGTCGATGGGAATGGAGAAAAAAGAGCAATGTAAAGCTGGATCCTACATGAGAAAGCATAATGTTAGTTATGAGTCTTTTGTCTACTTTCATGTTGTAATATTTACTGGGACAAAAACTTGTGTGTGGTTGACAGTCCGAACGATACATTTCACAATGCTAATAAATGAACGTGTTTTCTGCAGCCAATGCCTATTATCGGTCAATATCCACTGTTAAATGTGTTCATCTACGTACTTTTACACAATAAATTGAGTGTGTTTTCGTCTGCGTACTTTTACACAAGAAATTGACATACTTTCGTAATGAGGTGCCATAATTTGGAAAGCAACATGTTTTTATGCAAACAAAAGTTTACATTTTGTTCGAATCTTATTCTTATCACAGTCTTGTCGCAGCAGCTTTGTGTTGAACGCAATTTTTTGGCTTTGACATGTTTGCGCATATGTTATTTTTTAATCTTTTTTGTTATAATATTGAAGAAGACGAGATTGTATTTACTTTTGACTTTTTTTTGACAAGGATGATTGTTTATCGTTATTAATTTAATTATTTATTGCTTTATTTTTATTATTCTTATAATTATTTGCATTATTAGATTTGTTAGGTAATTTTTATTTTTTTTCTAATCTTTGTTTGGTAGGCAAGTTAATTAATTTTGGATTTTGTAGGAAGAACTCCTCTTTTTATTTTTGAAAGGTCGATTGATTGAAGAATAAAAAAAAATATCAGTTTGAGAGTTTTATCTCTTGTTTTTCCTCTCGTACGTTTTCGCTACATCAGTTGGTATTTAGAGACCAGAACGATCCACAATGCCTCCGAAGAGAAACGATGCTGATGAGAGCTGTGATGTCGCCATGGACGCACTGATGCAACGATACGAGACGGCTGACCGTCCCATGGCGGATCTGATATCGAGGATCCAAGACCTCACCCTGGCTTTCAATACCGCTTTTCACAGTGATCGGTCTAACCGTACCCGTGGCGGGTGGCATAGTGGGTGCATGGAGGACGTGGCAGAGACGCGCGCAAGGAGCCTGCGCCCGATTGCCTCCATCTTAGGTCGGAGAAAGTGACGACGACGAAAACCAGAATTCAACGGCAGCTTGGATGTATCGGAATTTTTGGATTGGATGCCCGCAATCGAGGCCGCGTTCGACTACAAGAAGGTGCCAGATGATAGGCGTGTGGCGTTGGTCACTACCTGTTTGTCCCATTTTTGTGTCTTTATTTTATGTTTATTTTCTTTTTGTTTTTCCCCACTCGTAGGATTTTAGTAGCTTATTTGGTTCATTTCGTTTCTTTTGTGTTTTTCTCCTTAGTTTCTAGTTGTGTGTCTTTTTGCTGTGTTTTGCTTCGTGTTTTTCCGTATTGTGTTTTCAGGAGGTAGGTTGTGCCGGTCGAGGTTGGGATTGCTTGAGTCGTGATCGTGATATCGAGAATTCCCGTGGCCGAACCCAGAAAACGACGAAGAGGACTGAAAGACAAACTGAAAACTGCTCCCAGCATATATTGCGACTCGCGAGTCGTCTCGAGACTCGCGACTTGGGTCGTGACTCGCGAGTCATCTCGAGACTCGCGACTTGGGTCGTGACTCGCGAACATGTCGCGACCCGTGAGAAAAACAGAGTCTTAAGGTGCAGTACGCTAGACGAAGTTGCGACTCGCAACTTGGGTCGCGACCCAACCCCAGAAGTTAAAGATCTTGACGACGCGCGACTCGCGAGGAAGTCGCGACTCACGACCAGGGAAAAGGTGAAGTCGCGACTCGCGACTTATCGGCGCGAATTTTGAGGAGCGGGTTTTTAACATCAAAATTTGGACCTAGGGCTAAGAATTCACTTCCAGACTTTGTTTTTACGTTCTTTCTCTAGAGAAACACACTCCGTTCTTTACTTTTTTTCTTTTGATTGAATTTGGAGAATGAAAAAGTCCCTTTTCTCGCTCTGGATTTGGATTGCTCATTGGATTTGACATTGGGATTCTTACTATTAATCGTAAGTTATTTTTCTCAGTTTCTTTGTTGATGATGATGGCTTGGGTTTATATGAATTTTGATGTTGAATTCCATATAAGTAGCTAAATTCATTCGCTAGGGATAGAGGATGATTGATTAGGTTCGTTATAATTGAGTGCTTTTGATTGTTCATATCTATTCGAGTTGTGTGAATTATAGGGTTAGATGATTGATCACCATTCTAACCTAGATAATGAACGTGTAGAACCGAGATGGGAGACGTTGGTCGATTTAGGCTCGTTTAGAGTAGACTTATTCGGAAACATATTGTCTATGTGTTGTTGGAATTGATAGTTAATCGTTTACATTCACTCTCTTGTTACGAAGAGTTATTGAGATGAACCTCTGAACGAGAAACGATTCAAGTCCTTTAACCGAGCAATTGGTTGTCGGTAAATATGATAGAACCGAAAGCAATTAATCCTGATTCCTTAGCACTTTAATCATTAAGTGAATTTGTTTGCCATTTAAAATTGCATTTAATTAGTTTGGAATCCTTAGTTGATAATTGAAAACCTCAAAATAGTGAATTAGAATGTTTAGGAATTTGTTTTCTTTTTTTTTTTGACTGAATAAACTCACAAGAATATCCGGCTAACCTTCCTTGCGATACGACCTGGGGAACGAATCTTTCGATTCTACTCCGGTAAAAATACTGACAACACTACCCGTTTGCACGGCTGAGCCACTGGTGGCAGCAGCTCAAGACGGCGTGGCATCGACTCGAGAAGCCAAAGATCACGACTTGGCCAAAATTTGATAAGCACATCGAGCGTGAGTTTCTCCTTTTAATTATGTGCGAACGGTTTATTAGCGTTTGCAAAATCTGAGGCAGGGTTTACGGTTGCTGGACGAATACACCGGCTAGCTCGGGCATCAATAGGCCTTGTGCTCTTAGTCGGGCTGCTCCGATACGCTTCGGCTGACGACGACGACGTCCAGGAGTACGGCGGCCCGCCTATGTTCGACGAGGAGCCATCTATGAAGGAGGTGCATGTGCACGGCGACGTCGGTCCGACGCTTCTTTTTCATTGATCATGTTTGGCATTTGTCTCCCAGAGGTGTGTTCGGGTTCTCCTTATTCATCAATTCCTTCGGATATCAAATCTAGTGAAACATTAATATCCACTTCTTTAGTCATTCTCAAACTGGGGAATCTGCTAAGGCCCTATCCTAGGCGTGCCAGGGTTATGGTATATCTTTTGCTTAATGGGATACCTCATTTTTAGGCTGAGCCTCCGGAAATATTTGCTGACAAAAAAGTTGTCATCAATTTTTCGCACTACATAAGTTGAAGTCATTGGATTGGTGATGGCTAAAACTGTCACATTTGATGATCTCATAGTTGGTTTACGGAATTATAGATCTACTTTAACGGATAAAGAATTACGTGACCTTATGGATGCGGCTAGTGTAAACAAGAGGCATGCGGAGGCGCATCGTCGTCATGTTGATTTCGAGGTAGGCGATTTTGTGTGGGCCGCATTGGCACCGATGGATTTTTTGCACGTGCATATACTAAGTTGTCGGCCAGTAAAATCGGTCTACTTGAGATTATGGAGAAGATCAATCCAAATGCGTACAGCCTTCGCTTACCTTTCCACATTCGTACGTCCGATGTATTTAATGTCAAAATTTTGGTGCGGTTCCGTGGCGACAACTCGGACGAAGACGAGATTGAGTCAGATTCGAGAGCGAATCTTTCTGAAAAGGCTACGATCCCGTCACGGAATGATTCCGTGAGGGTTTTTAGCCATTAGATAAACATGTAACTTCCATGTATCTACAACAACTGTATATCTAATGGCTAAAAACCAATGTTCTGAAAACCGGACCGGACCGGCCGATTAGACCGGTTCAACCGGGAACTGGCCAGTTTCCCGGTTCGGTTTGAGGTATAAAACCGCTGGAGCTCGAAACCGGCATAAAATCGTTTAAGCCGGTAACGGGTCAAGCGGCCAACGATTTTCTGAACTTTGCATGGGAGTGACTGGAAAGTCACTTATATAACAGGATTTTGTTTCTTTGAGTTTCGATGGGGGATATCTAAAGAGCTAAATGTTGCTGAAATTACTGGGCCATGTTGGGCTTATATGCAAAACGTGGACACATGATTATCGATTGGGCTCAAATGCATTTAATGATCTTAAAAGCTAAACTTAGCAAATTACTATTGATTGGGCTATATGTACTGGCTAAAACCAAGCATTAAAAATCCATTAACCAAGTATATGCTTTTTAGTTTTTAATTCTACTCCCAATTTAATGAATAAGAAAGTAAATTATTGTTATGCACATAATTTTATTTTTTACTCAATAATAAAAAACTTAAAATTGGATTTAAAAATTAAAATACAAACTTGGGTTGTATTTATTTTTAACTTAAATATAGATTAAAATTTAATGTATACAAAATAAATGAAAATAACGTTATCAACATAACAATGTCGTTTGTATCTATTATTGAAATCTTATTTGAGAAATGTTATTATACACTATAAAATTATTAATAAAAAAACATACAATTATATATTATACATATAAAATAAATAAAGATTATATATTAATTAAATTGGTCCGACCGATTCGACCACTGGTTCGACCAGTGAACCATTGAACCGGTAACTTTACCGGTTCGATGACCGGTTCGGTTTTCAGAACATTGCTAAAAACCCTCACGGAATCATTCCGTGACGGGATTGTAGCCTTTTTCCTAGATTTGTTAGTTAATATTTATTTATTTTTCCTAATCTTTTTTTGGTAGGCAAGTTAATTAATTTAGGGCTTTGTAAGAGTTTTATTTAAGTGTAAACATTATCACGGATCTTAAATAAATAATTTGGTGTATACGAAATACTTACTTGATGCGGAAAACGACATAATTGTATTTCTTAATGAGCACGAGACTCGAGCGATCCTTTCGATCTAAACTCATTTCTCCCACCTGACCGTTCCTTCACATAGCAGAAAACATATGGGATAACAATTGTGTACTCTAATTGGAGGAGAGATGACTAATTATGTAGGGTTGTCTTTAGATTTGGTACGTCCATCAACTATCCAGATTAATGACTCAGATTTGTTTGACCATTAAATAAAGGCCTATCCCAATAGGATAATTAATTGTGAACAATGCTTTCGTGCCACATATAACATTAGGTGCACATAAACAAATCTCATTATACCATACATCATAATAAACTATGACATGAGAAACCATATAGTGAGAGTTATGACTGGTGTACACACTCGATTCGCATACTTCATTCCATATACTACTACACTAACAATTCAACACATCAAGTTTCATAATTATATATAAATATCATAATGTCCACTTAATTGTCATGAAGACATTTATTTCATGTTCTAAAAATAATGTATACAAAACCAAGATGAACAAGAAATTCGATAAAAGTCACAAACGTAACATCAATGAGCTCAAGAGTGTGCCATAACATTATCATAATCAATCATCAATACAACCAAGACTCATTCTATGTACA